GGCCATTTGTTTGCACACAAGAAAAAAATCAGTTTACTTGTATTGTACAAGATATTTTTTTTCAATAAAATAAAAACACCAATGTATGTAGCATGCCTTAGGGAGCTATTCGTGTGATTTTCAAAAAAAAATGTGAAAAGTGCCCAAAAAACTATTCTGCTACCTTAAACCACAGTGGAGGGACTGTGCTTAAACCAGTTGTAATAAATCACTCATTGGAACATACCATTACAGTATGGTGGACCTGGATTTGAGTGGAGGGACTTTTTAAATCTGTTATAATAAATCACTCATTGGAACATACAATTACAATATGGTGGCTCTGGATTTAAGTGGAGGGACTTTTTAAACCAGTTATAATACTTCACTCATTGGAACATACCATTACAATATGGTGGACCTGGATTTAAGTGGAGGGAATTTTTAAACCAGTTATAATACTTCACTCATTGGAACATACCATTACAATATGGTGGACCTGGATTTGAGTGGAGGGAATTTGTAAACCAGTTGTAATAAATCACTCATTAGAACATATCATTACAATATGGTGGCCCTGGATTTAAGTGGAGGGAATTTTTAAACCAGTTGTAATAAATCACTCATTAGAACATATCATTACAATATGGTGGCCCTGGATTTAAGTGGAGGGAATTTTTAAATCTGTTATAATACTTCACTCATTGGAACATACCATTACAATATGGTGGACCTGGATTTGAGAGGAGGGACCTTGTTGCTAACTATTTCATACTTAATCTTGATTCGTGTTATTTCAGGCGTTATTCGATTGAGTTGCAAGAGACTTCCATGTCTGTCCATATAGCACACTAACTAGAAAGACCAACCCATTTGGTATTCGTCTATCAGTGCTTGATACTTGAGAGATAGATATATATATACATATATAGATATATATCCCAAATAGTATGACGTGTCATCAAACCCACAAATGATCACATGACACACATGTCCAATTCACATACATTAAAGCGGGAGGGTCATCACCTGCGCACGCGCGGGAATTGAGTTCCACGCGACGATAACACACGCTAAAAACGCAAAGGCTCATGGGTAGACGCTTGTTTGTAAACAATGACACGCTATGGCCATCTGACGCATGTGCAGGTGACGACTCCCCCGCTTTAAATAAATAATACCCAGAGTACAATTAGATATATTATTACATTTTAATACTAATCGTAACTACATATGTATTAAGTACAGCGAGATTGAACAGAATACTCAATAGTATTGAGTAGCGAAAACATATTTAGTAACTATATCAGAAAACTATAACTTGAAGCTTTGTTTGTATGTTTCTCCATATATTGTTGGATGTACTATTCACACGAATCGTTCGCACATGGACATTCTACAAAGCAAAAAAAAAAAAAAAGAATCAGACATGTGATTTAAATACAATGTAAAATGCCTTGAACGACAGTGCAACCCAACCAGTCTGAGCAGTATCGCAATATAGCTTTCAATATTAATATCAACTTACAATTACAAACTGTCATTTTGAAATATCAATATTGCAAAACAGCAGTATTACAATACTGTTGGTTGAGTTGTTGTTTTTCTGTTCATAGTAGTAAACTGTTAGTTTGGTGACAAATGGTGAAGGTAAAAAAAACATACACAACAGCAAATCGTAACCAACTTGTATCTCAGGGTATATTATACAAGTTTCAGGGAGCATCTTGGGTAACTGACTAAACCAATCAGAATTGCCCTATTTGCGAGATTCTGGTCACGTGATATTCTGTCCGACTACGTCAGCATCTTGTCGGCTCGTTTGTTTACGACGCGTTAGGATATCTACTCATTTAGTGATTATAATTTCACTAACTACAACTAGCCAGGATTAACCACGACTAACTACGACTAGCCAGGATTAACCACGACTAACTACGACTAGCCAGGATTAACCACGACTAACTACAACTAGCCAGGATTAACCACGACTAACTACGACTAGCCAGGATTAACCACGAATAACTACGACTAGCCAGGATTAACCACGACTAACTACGACTAGCCAGGATTAACTACGACTAACTATGACGATCCAGGACTAACTACGACTAATAACGAATTATGAGATTAACAAGATGTCTGATTTGATCATCCCGTGAGACAAGGTTATCACTTGATACCGAGACCAGTTGGTCGGACCTTACCTTCCTCAAACATGCACACAAATCCTTTCTTCTCGTAGCAATACTCGTCATCAAAGTCACCTTTGGCTTTCGGTTTATACCTGCAACAAAACC